TCTGTAAAGATTTGCTCTTCCAACTGTGTCAGAATGTACCCTGGTGAAATTCTGTTTAGAGGCCTAACTGATGGTGAAGTTGTGCTCAATGACTTACACATTGCACTCTTGGTTTCAGCTTTCTTGAAATATATTTAGACTTCATGCAGTGAGTGTATTTCTTAGTAGCAAGTCCAAATGTGTATTTCCACAATAAAATGCATTATTTGTGATGCTGTGACTGTGAAAGTTCTCATTGCACATGACACGACTGAGATGCTGAATTGGAAATAATCAGAAATGAAGCTGAGCTGCATCCTGGCCCTTTGAGCTCTGAGGACCAGCAAAAGGTTCATTTTCTGCCAAATTTCTATACTCTTAATGTAACAGAAAAATATGAACACTGGTACACAAATTGGCTGCAATACAGGGAAGAACAATACTACAAAGCTGTCACACATGTTTGGGAATTCCCTGGATGAAAAAGCGACAATAAACAGGTTTTATGTCTACTTTGGTTTTCCTTTCTCTCTGCTGTGGCCCTGTGCTCTGTGATACATTATGGGCTGTAGCACTGTCTGGCAGTGGCTGGTAGCTCTGTGTGAACACGCTGAGCCCTGGCACCCCCAGAGGTGTCACTGATGCACAAAGAGCGAGGCAGGAACGGCCCCAGGGAGCTCAGGGGCTGCAGAGCCCCCTTCCCTCTCCAGCCCTGCGTGTCCTCTCTGCCTGCAAGGACAGCATTCCCTGCTCTGTGTCACTGCTCTCCTGGCCTGCTCTGACCTGCTGATGACATTGCCTTTGCCCAGTGCAATCTAGCTCAGTGAAACACCCAGGTTTGGTGCTGGATCAGGGGAAGGGCTTGAGGAGGAGGGAGTCAAGGAGACAACTTGTTAAGAGCTGGCTGCAATCCCTATTCTACTTCCCCCTGTGTGGCTGTTGGGGAGGAGGTGGAGGAGCTGAGGATGAAGGAGTGAGGTTGAGTCTGGGAGGAAAGGGTGGCAAAGGCAGCAGGTTGTGTTTTCCATTTGCTTCTCATCATCCTACTTTACTTCCAATAGGTAAATAAATTAAATTCCTTTTACTCATGTCAAGTTAGCTTTGTCTGTGAGCATAATGGGTGAGTGATCTCCCTGCCTTTATCTCAGTCCATCAGCTTTTCCATCCTATGCTTCACCCCCTGTTTATGGGTGAGAGGGAAGGAGCAGCTGTGTGGGTGCTGCCTGCTCCCTAAGATCACCTCTCCACAGCAGGTGAAACATGAAACAGTTCACTCTATTCAACTCTTGACTTACTCTCAAGGTAATGCCAGTGGTAAAGCAAACATATAAATCAATGCCTGGGAAGGATCAAAATAAACTCCACTTTCCCAGCATCTAGGCTGAACATTGCAGCACCCCAACTGTCAGACTGAAAAGGACAGTGAGTCCCCTGAGCGCTCCGTGCTGAGCACAGCCAGGGCTCTGCATGATCGTCACAGGCAAAGGAAGGGACAGAGGAGGCCAGATCCTGGAGCCTGACCCTGATCAAACAGGGCTCACTCTCAAATGCACAGCACTCTCCACCGCAGAAAAACATCTCGGCTCTTTGTGTCACCCAACACAGCCCCCCTGAAGCAACATTCAAATAGTCAAGAGTGACACTGGCCCCGGGTAAGGGGATACCCAGCACATTTACATCCCTGCACCTGCCCTGCTCCCCACACCAGCGGCACCAAAATCCCCCCCAGCACCACCAGCACCAGCAGCAGCAGCAGCAGCAGCAGCAGCAGCAGCAGCAGCAGCAGGAGCTCTATAAAGCTCCTCTTGCCATCCCTGACACTCCAGCACCAGCAGCCACTGACCTGCCTCAGGCACTGCTGCCACAGCCCCTTGGCCAGCACAGCTCTGCTCCCCAGCTCGCAGCATGGAAGCTTGTCACTCTCCACAGCAATCCAATGTCACTTCATACGGGGCCACCACTGTGGCCATCGTCACCCTGGAGGCGTTTGCTGGCATGTGGATAAACGCTTTCATCGTTTGTGTGCTTTGCCTTGCCTGGGTCAAAAAGAAAACCCTGAACTCTAATGAGAAGATCTTGCTGCTGCTGGGATGTTCCAGGTTTTGTTGTTTGTGCTTCTCATGGATATATTACTTTCTCTCAAAAATTTACCCATACTACCTTCTGATTCATCCCATACTTCAACTAACTCAAGGTGCTTATAGCTTTTTTTTTTCTTCCAACTTGTGGGTTTCAGCCTGTCTTTGTGGGTTTTATTGTATAAAAATTGCCAATTTCAGGAACAGCTTCTTCATCTGCTTGAAGGTAAAGATTGACAGGATCGTGCCCTGGCTCTTGTTGGGGTCAGTTATTTTCTCCCTGATTATTGGAATTCTTGTCTACATCACTATTGATGAAGCTATCTGTAAAAACCTCAATTTCACCTGCCAAGGAAGAATTTTTAAATCAAGTATCAGAATAGACGAACATTTTTACCCTATTAATTTTCTAACTGGCTTTTTACATACTGCTTCGTTCATGGCAGTCATCTTTGCTGCTGTTTTCCTTCTCTTTTCCCTCTGGACACACAAACGCAAGATGCAGAAAAACTCCATGAAGGACCTCAGCATGGATGCCCACATCAGAGCCATGAAATCTATTCTTTCCTTCTTAGTGATGTACAGCATCAACTTTATGTCTTTCATCCTGACTCTAATTTATTCAACATCGCACGAAAATAATATTCAATTTCTTGTTTACTTATTTCAGCATGCTTATCCTGGTGTTCACTCCCTTATTCTGATTTTCAGCAATCCCAAGCTGGAAAAGGCACTGCTTAACATTCTTTCCGGTGTGATGTGCAAGGTTTGCATGAAGTAGAAACTGTAACAAAAGCTGTAGCTCATGCAAAATATCTTCAGAGAAAATAAGTTAAATTAATTTTCATTGCAACTCTCCAGGCAGTATAGATCTTAGACAAGTTCAGCTGTATGTATTTCAAATTCTTTGAACTGATATTATTATGAGGTAAATAAATCATTATTTGCATTGAATTAAATCAGCAATTGGAATTAAATTATTGTCAATAGCAAAGTCCTTTAGACCTTGTACAGGGGTTGGATGCAAAAGAGCAATAATCATGCTGCAAACCTGCCTCAAATGTTTTGATTTTCACTGATTGAATTGACTGAATGAAACAACAGGTTTTATGTCTATTTTGGTTTTCCTTTCTCTCTGCTGTGGCCCTGTGCTCTGTGATACATTATGGGCTGTAGCACTGTCTGGCAGTGGCTGGTAGCTCTGTGTGAACACGCTGAGCCCTGGCACCCCCCAGAGGTGTCACTGAGGCACAAAGAGCGAGGCAGGAACGGCCCCAGGGAGCTCAGGGGCTGCAGAGCCCCCTTCCCTCTCCAGCCCTGCGTGTCCTCTCTGCCTGCAAGGACAGCATTCCCTGCTCTGTGTCACTGCTCTCCTGGCCTGCTCTGACCTGCTGATGACATTGCCTTTGCCCAGTGCACTCTGGCTCAGTGAAACACCCAGGAACGTGGGTTTTGTACAAGGTGCAGCGAGGAATAATGTCACAATCTCTGATGAGCAGATGTACGGGGTGCCTGGGCCAGCTGCTGCAGCTGAGGGCCTGTGGGGTCTCAATGGGGCAAGGCCAATGCTGTCCCATGCTGGGGAAAGCCAGTTCCAGGCACTCCATGAACCCAACACAGGACACTGCTCATCTCATCAGTGACCGCTGTGGCTCCTCTGGTTAAAGAGAAGTCCTGAGGGACTGCAGATCATGGGAGGGAGCCATGCTGGATCAGGAGAAGAGTGGAGGAGACAACTTTTTGTGAACTGACTACAACCTCCATTCCCTGTCCTCTTGTGCTGCTGAGGAGAGGAGGTGGTAGAGAATCTCAGAATGAGTTAGAGTGAGCCTGAGATTACTGAGGGGTGAAGATAAAATATTCTAGTTTTGTGTGTGTTCTACATCATCCTACTCTGTTTTCAATAGGCAATAAATGAAATTGATTTTCCCTGTGTCGAGTCTGCTTTTTCTGAGAGAAGAACTTGTCTGAGAGAATAACTGGTGAGTGATTTCCCAGTCTTTATCTTGACTCATGAGCAGTTGCATCTTATTTTTCTCCCCTGCGCTGCTCCAGAGTGAGAGTGAAGGAGTGACTGAGTGTAGCTCTGAGAGCTGCTCAAGGTCAACTCACCATGACAGGGCCTGAAAATGTGAAATAGTTCCAGTGTGGAGGAATACATTCAGTGCAGATAGCTCAGTGAGCAGCTGCAATGTGAGCTGCAGATTGTAGGGAAGCACTGGGAGTCCCAACCCTGGTGTCAACCCTTGCACAGCAAGGGGTACAGGGACCTGTGGCACCAGCCAGGTGACTGAACACTTAAGACACTCCAATCATCATGTGCATGGGCTGGAAGGACTCAAAATCCCAGGGATCCAATTGTTTGGGTTACCTCCTCACAGGCACCCAGCTTGAACTGCTTCTGAGTTACTGTGCCATGATTAAACTGCTTTAAAGATCCGGAGGTCTGAGTCTCTACTATGGGAAACCCAGTGCCAAGCTGGTGAGGAAACCTGGCGCTGAGTGTGGTGTGTGAAGGCAGTGGAGTGGGCCAGCTGCCCACTGTGAAAGGGCTTTGGTCCCAGCAGTGACAATCTCTGGTGGGGGGGCACGAGTGTCAGAAGGCCTCCTGGGTGGTGAGACAGGAGAGTTTCCTTCACACCAGCATGAACAGAGCAGAACCTGAACTTGTCATTTATTTTACCAGCTCAGGTTCAGAGGGTCCTTATACCTCATGCCAGGTGTGCATTTCTCATCTCACCTTCAAAAAGCTTCCTTCCTGCTTCTGAATTGAGGGATACAACCACTTAGGCCAGAGCAACCTCTCGACCACTGCAATATCTCTTTTTCCACAGACCACACATTCTAGCAGGCCGTCTCACCAAACTACCCAACTCTCCTTAAACAGCAACTGCCCAGAAACAAGCAAACAAATAATTAATGCCACTTTATAGCATGCCAATCCACCTTCTCTAGCTAAGAAGGATTTGGAGCTGAATTAATATTTCCATAATAAGTTTGTAACATTTGCCCTGAGATTTCATTTTGTTTTCCAGCATTGTATCCTGAAACAATTGTGTCATTCTGGTCATTGAAGTTCAGTTATGGATGAAATGGATTTCCTCAGAAGAAACTGGACAACTAATAGCCTAAGCAATTAGCTAACCAAGGCTAATCATTTGGGATTTTCAGTAACAAAGAAAGAAGAAAAGGATTCTGGAGAGGGAAGATGTTCATCCTAAACCAAGCTCAGATGGAAGCAATGCAGTTTGTGTGTGATGTCTCTCAGATCCAATACAGCTGTGTGTCCCTCCATATGCATAAAATCAACTGTCTGATGCATTTTGAGATGCACAAGGACATCCAAAAAATCCACATAAGCTGGTAGATACAATAGCCTGGAGAATCCTTCCTCTTCTTGAGTGGTGCGAGAGGGCTGGATTTGAACAAAGAGCAGCCTCCCGATCCATATCTTCTTGATCTGAAAACCCAGCACTGGAGACTCTGATGTAGATACACCTTTATTTTTTTAATGTACCAGATTCCCCACGAAGAGCTGATTCCAAACCACCGCCACAGTGTGGACCTGCTATTGTAACATTTTGTCCTGGTTCTGACCAGGATGGGGTTACTTTCTGCAGTGGCTGGGAGAGGGCAGGGCCAGTACTCAAGGGTTATTTTATACTATCTCACTGAAGGGAACAGGAGAGGCCAAGGGAAAGGGTCTATCTTTTGGGGAGAGGGAGATCCTTTTCTTATTGTCTGTTATTGGGAAGTTATTACCATGTGAATAATTTCTTTTCTTATACACTCTGGCATCAGTAGTGTTGCTGTTACTGTTACTGTTCATTTTCTTATTTCATTGCTGTTTCCAGTAAATTGTTCTCATCTTAAACTATGATCTTTGCCTTTTGTTCCTCGAATTCTCCTCTCCAGTCTTCGCAGGGGACAAGGAAGATGGGAAAAAGGGGAGTAAAAGAAAGCAGCAGTGTGGATTGAAGAGTCAAAGTGGGGGCACAGAACTGGGTAGGAACATTCCGAAATGACTACAAATATTCATTTAATGCTTCTGTACAAGTACAGACTCAGCACAGACAGGTCATCTTCACACCTGTTGTAATAGAAACAACTTCCATTTTTCCAGAAACATAATGGAGAGAAGAAGAAATAAAAGAGAAAAAAAAGAGAAAAGAAAAAAAAACCCGCTAAAATCTACAGTGTTTTCTGTTTTGTCAGCAAAACCAGAGAGGAGGAAACACACAATAAAGCACAAAGTACACAACAGGCACTATCAGGAAATTAAAATATTCTCAAGGCAATGCTCTGCCCTTCATCAAACTCAAAAATTACCAAAATAAAGAATATTTTACTTGATCATTGTAGATGACAAAGGGACAGAGGAGCTCAGATCCTGAAGCCTGACCCTGATCAAACAGGGCTCACTCTCAAATGCACAGCACTCTCCACCGCAGAAAAACATCTCGGCTCTTTGTGTCACCCAACACAGCCCCCCTGAAGCAACATTCAAATAGTCAAGAGTGACACTGGCCCCGGGTAAGGGGATACCCAGCACATTTACATCCCTGCACCTGCCCTGCTCCCCACACCAGCGGCACCAAAATCCCCCCCAGCACCAGCACCAGCACCAGCAGCAGCAGCAGCAGCAGCAGGAGCTCTATAAAGCTCCTCTTGCCATCCCTGACACTCCAGCACCAGCAGCCACTGACCTGCCTCAGGCACTGCTGCCACAGCCCCTTGGCCAGCACAGCTCTGCTCCCCAGCTCGCAGCATGGAAGCTTGTCACTCTCCACAGCAATCCAATGTCACTTCATACGGGGCCACCACTGTGGCCATCGTCACCCTGGAGGCGTTTGCTGGCATGTGGATAAACGCTTTCATCGTTTGTGTGCTTTGCCTTGCCTGGGTCAAAAAGAAAACCTTGAACTCTAATGAGAAGATCTTGCTGCTGCTGGGATGCACCAGGATTTGCTGTTTGTGCTTCTCATGGGCATATTTATTTCTTTCATTTATTTATCCCAATTACCTTTATGTTCACCCCATACTTCAACTAGCTGTATTTTTTAATGCCTTTTTTGATCATTCCAACTTATGGGTTTCAGCCTGTCTTTGTGGGTTTTATTGTATAAAAATTGCCAATTTCAGGAACAGCTTCTTCATCTACTTGAAAGTCAAAATTGACAGGATGGTGCCCTGGCTCTTGTTGGGGTCAGGGATTTTAGCTTTGACTGTTGGAATCATTGCCTACGACATCGCTGATAAACCGCACTGCAACAACCACAATTCCACCGAACAAGGAAATTTTGGGAAAGCAAATATCAAAATGGATAAACATTTCTTCCCTTCTTTTTTTCTCTCTGGATTTGGATATGCTGCTTCATTCATGGCAGTCATCTTCTCTGCTGTTTTCCTTCTCTTTTCTCTCTGGACACACAAACGCAAGATGCAGAAAAACTCCGTGAAGGACCTCAGCATGGATGCCCACATCAGAGCCATGAAATCTATTTTCTCCTTCTTAGTGATGTACAGCATCAACTTTGTATGTTTGGTCTTAAATATGGTTTATGTCACAAAGAAGAGAAGTCATATGTCATTACTTATTTTAGTATTTCAGTACACTTTTCCAGGTTTTCACTCCCTTATTCTGATTTTCAGCAATCCCAAATTAGAAATGACACTGCTAAAGATTCTGCCCTTAGAAAGATTTGTGAAGCGCAAGGTTTGCATGAGTTAGGAACTGTAATAAAATCTGGAGCCCATTCAAAATTGTAATATTTTACTATAGAAAACAAGTAGTTTAATCTCTAATGCAATGCTTCAAGCACTGTAGATGATATAAATGTTCTCATCACTGAGATTAAGAATATATATTTAAAAACCACTAACTAAATTAATGTGACTTATATTAGCTACCTTCAAGTATAATATCATTTAGGTAATTCTATGAGTTTAATTATTGTCAATAACTTATAATTATTTATAATTATTATAATTATGCTAATTTATAATAATTTATTTAGTCTTGGTATAGGGGCTGGATGCAAAAGGACAATAACAATACTGCAAAGCTGCCTCAAATGCTCTGGCATTTTCTGATTGAAACAACTGAAATTAACTGCAGGTTTTATGTCTATTTTGGTTTTCCTTTCTCTCTGCTGTGGCCCTGTGCTCTGTGATACATTATGGGCTGTAGCACTGTCTGGCAGTGGCTGGTAGCTCTGTGTGAACACGCTGAGCCCTGGCACCCCCAGAGGTGTCACTGATGCACAAAGAGCGAGGCAGGAACGGCCCCAGGGAGCTCAGGGGCTGCAGAGCCCCCTTCCCTCTCCAGCCCTGTGTGTCCTCTCTGCCTGCAAGGACAGCATTCCCTGCTCTGTGTCACTGCTCTCCTGGCCTGCTCTGACCTGCTGATGACATTGCCTTTGCCCAGTGCACTCTGGCTCAGTGAAACACCCAGGTTTGGTGCTGGATCAGGGGAAGAGCATGAGATGGGAATGGAGGAGACAGCTCACTATGAACTGACTTCACCTCTATTTTCCTTCCCCCTGTGTGGCTGTGGGGAAGGAGGTGGAGGAGCTGAGGATGAAGGAGTGAACTTGAGCCTGAGATGAAAGGGTAGTGGAGGTAGTAGGTTCTGGTTTGTGTTTGTTTCTCTTTGTACTATTGTACTTTCAATAGGTAAATAAATTAAATCAATTTTCTGCATGTCAAGTCTGTTTTGTCTGTGACAGTAACTGCTGAGTGATTTCACCGTCTTTTATCTCAATCCATCAGCTTCTTCATCCTATTTTCTACTACCTGTTTATGGGTGAGAGAGAAGGAGCAGCTGGATGAGGGACTGGCTGCTTCCTAAGCTCAACCCTTCACACCAGGTGAAACATGCAGAACAGAGCAAACCTGAACTGGTCACTTCTGTCACCAGCTCAGGTGATCAAGCATCTCTTCTGGACACCAGTCCCCAGTGAAAGGTCTTGACAGGAACAACCACACCTCCCTTCTTCCCCTGCTTCTGCTCATGTACTTTATCCTTTAATATAAGGATAGGGTTGACAATCCCAACCACTTTCACAAAAAAGCCCCAGAAGATACATCTTATTCCTTATTTCCAGTGCAGATCATCCCTCACAACCTCACATGCCACAAGACTCTGCAGAAAAACCTACAGCTTGCATGTGTCACCACACGACACCACAGCCCCAGCAAACCACACTGGTGTCCCTCCTTCCATCCCCATGAAACCCCTGACAATGTGACACCCAGCTCAGAATCCCTGTCCTGTGCACCAGCCCCACTGAGCTGGCACTGGAGGGGACAGGGTGTCCATCACTACAGCCCCACTGCACAGCCCATGGGGGCGGCATCTGCCCGGCCTGGAGAAGCTGTCAGAAGTCAATGAGAGCATCTGTCCAGTGCTGGCATGTATGGAAAACTGCTCTGGGTCACATTCCAAATTTTTTGACTGAGAAGTGAAAGTGTTAAAGATGCTTTTGTCGTGGAAAGTGTTGATGAGCAGAAGCAGAGCTTAGGACCAGCTGCACAGCATTCCTATTTGCAGAGATATAAAAATAGCTGGGGGCAATGCTAACAAAAGGCAGTGCTCCAATACCCTTGGCAGTCACAGCTGTCTGAAAGCAGCAAGAAGGGAGCACATTTACCCTTTTGCTGGGCCAGGAATGGAAGATTCAGGCTGTTGGACCCATGTGTCCAGTGAAAACTCAACAGTAACATCTCAACTTCATCCAGGAGAAGCAACTACGTCCCACTTCCAAGAAAAGTGCATTACCAGAGTAATGAGCAAGTCCATGTAGAGCCTCCTGGTAATAGAGTAATGAGCAAGTCCATGTAGAGCCTCCTGGTTGACTCAGTGACAAGCAAAGGCCACACACATCAGCAGAGCAAGCAGAACCATGGTCCAAGATCCTATTGTGAATCAGGTAGGATCAAGACTACTTTTTTTCCCTGACAATATGGGTAACTGTTGCCATCACAGTAATTTTAAACATCACAGTGATATAGAGTATTGGCATATTTAAACATATTCTTCAGTTGTTTTTATTTTTGAGATCAGATACATAGAGAAGCTGAAGCAATCCTAGTTGTTAAGGAGATTGTTTACAGTATATCTCTAAGGATGCACTCTTGTAGCCAACTACTTCCTCCATTCACCCAAATAATACCCTGCAGAACCACCTGAGGTCTGCCAGTGCCTTTGCTCTGCATTGCAAGGACTTGGAGGCACCAAACAGGCAGGGCACACTACCGCTTCCCCTTTTTTCCCCCATTTTTCTTTTGAATAGAAGCCGTGCACTTCTCCCAAAAACATGGTGGATTTTTCTGAAGCTCTTCTTTCTTGAGTTCCCAGTCTTCATCTCTCTGGTCTAAGGGAATTTTTCTCAGTGCAGCTTTCCTGCGGTAGTTCCTGCTCTCCACCTCTGCTCTGGGAGAGAAACCAAGAGTGAACACAGCACACACTCATCTCTGTTCACAGGGTCCCATCCACAGGGTCAGGAGCTGTGTCTCAGTCTGGTAAAAACCCTGCTGCCACTTGAGAAAACACTTTAGAAAACACTGCAGTGTGTCCAGCATGGTGCAGCCCCAACTCCCCCTCTCAGGGACCCCTCTGAGCCCCAGCACTGCCTGGATCCAGAGATGGACATTCCAAGTGTAAATCTTGCCCAAGAGAAGGCAAACCCTTTCCTCCTCCTGCAGGGCTCTGATTTTGTAGGCACTCAGGATTCAGGAGCCTCTGTCAGAAACACCATCCAATAGCAGGAAAAATCCTTTTTATCTGTAATAGAGCATTTCTGTCAAGTGCAGTGCAGTTCTAGCTGAGAGCACAGAGCAAATCTAGCAGCTCCACACTGATGGATCTCATCACATGGGCTTTCTATATCACAGAATCATAGAATGGTTTGGGTTGGAAGGGACCTTTAGACATTGTCTTATTCCATACCTCCCTGCAATAGACAGGCACACCTTCCCCTAGAACAGGTTGCTCAAAGCCCCACCCAGCTTGTCCTTAAACACTTCCAGGGATGGGGCAGCCACAGCTTCTCTGGGCAACCTGTGCCAGGGCCCCACCACCCTCACAGTCAAGAATTTATTCCTAATATAGCTAATCCTTCCTACCTAGGCCATTCCCCCTTCTCCATACCCTTGTTCAAAGTCCCTCTCCAGCTGTCTTGTAGGCTCTCTTCAAGTACTGAAAGGTGCTCTAAGATCTCCACAGAGCCTGTGTTTGAGAGTGATGGTTGATGCCCCATAGCTGTTGGTGTTTAAGAGACATTTGGAAAATGCCCTTCATAAGATGCTTTAACTTCTGGTCAGTCCTGAAGGGGTCAGGCCATAGGACTAGCATAGGTTCCTTCCAACTGAACTACCCTATTGTTTTCTATTAAGTATCTCCTCCCAAGGGCAAGAAATCTCTTTCTATGGACTTTAAATATAAATGTATTTGTTTATTTATTTACACATGAGTATATATATGCCCTGGTCTTAGATAGCAGGACCCTTTGGTATAGTTTCAACAGCTGTCACTTTGCAGAGAAGCTGGCAGCAGACATGAGTTGAGGGTCTCTGTGCCATTCTTGGCAGCTCTTATAGCATCCAGAGTAAAGCCCTTCTCATGCAAACCAAATCTGATGCAAAATATGCATTTGCTATTCAGAAGCAGCTGTTTTGAAAGCAGCTGTTTCCTAACTTTTGCATGTTCATGCAAACCTCAGTGAGTGGTACTGATACTTGGCAGTGGAATTTTCCTAATATTTGCATGTTAATAATATTTCCATGTCAATACACGTAATATTTCCATGTGGATGCAGTCCTCAGCACACTTCAGTGGCCCAGCCCAGGCAGGCAGGTAGTTCATGCAGCTGGAAACACCTTGGGACTGACAAACAGCATGCAAGGGTCATGGTGGTGCTAGAGGGGGCTGAATTTGGATTCAGGAAGGATCTGTTCATAGGCCTGTGTAGATATGTACATCAGCCCTGCATTTGGTGCAGACCACCAGATGGTTTTAAAAATTGCCTTTTTCTCTCTTTTTGCATGACAGGCAAATATCCAGAACTGACAGGGCTGTGTAACAAAATGCTCCTCATATTTATGTCCCACACACTGCTGAGTAGAGGGCACTGTGCAGCATTTTGTGCAAGCACACTCTTAACTCTCTGTCTGCAGCACACACAGTACTGCTTGTTCCCTTTGGCTTTGCCTGACCCTGGACATCACCTCTGGGACCTTCTGCACATCTGAAGGAGCAGACAGTAATCAAAATTACACTACAAGTGACAACCATTCCTCCTAGTTTACTCCAAGTTTGCTGATGTGAGGCAGTGAGGCCAGAGTGCGAGGGTATAAGTATCCACTGTGGTCATAAACTATAATGGCTGGGCTTAAAAATATTCCTGAGTCTCAGTGATAAACTCTTGGCTGACCACAGGCTGGGTTATGGCTGTGAGGTGATTGTACAGGCTTTGTGTCTTATAAAATGTTCTAGACTGGGCATTTGAAGCATTTTCCTAGTCATTAGATCTCCCAGCCACACTGAGCCATGCAACTGTGGGGTGACTCAGGCCAGCCTGTGGTTCTGAAAGACAAGTTTTCCACCCTAAATCAATCATTCACCTCAGAAAGCCCATTATCAGCTGACCTGAGTCACCACTGGCTGCTGCTAAGGTGTCTCAGACCAGGATGTCAATCCTTCTGTCAGTCAACCTGTCAGTCATTCTCCCAGGCACCTCTGCCTACCACAGGCATTGCTCTTCGGCATCACGCAGGCAATTCCCCTACCCCTGCTGTCAGCTCGCTCCCATGGCTCTGGAGCACATCCAAGGCACAGCAAATGCTACAGACTTGGCAGGAATTACCAGTGAGATTAGTGCAAAAACTACAGCATTTAATAGGCAAGGAATTGCTGTAAGTTATTCATACAGGTGCAGAAGTCTGTAGACTTTCACCCTCTAGGTTAGACAATATTTACCTGTTCTGGTATAGAATCTAAGTATACCAAGAGCTGAGAACAGTATAAAGAGAATCTCCACTGGAAGACAGTGCCCCATTCTCAAAGGTCTGGGACACCTGAGGCTTACTACCTAGACAATGGCTAGGTAGTAAAAAAATCTAATTTGAAAAGCTTCATTATCAACTGCTGGTTGCCTAAATGCCTTTAAACTGAAGGTCTGAGGGTAAGAAGGGCTGACACATCTGTGTGGAAGGAAAGTGGTGAGTAGTGAGGGATTATAGCACGTCAGATCCAAAACCAGGACTTTCTAAGATGGTCTGGATACCCCATTCTGGCAGTGTTCAGCTCCATCACATTGGATGGGGCTTTGAGCAACCTGGTCTAGTGGAAGGGGTCCCTGTCCATGGCAGGGGGTTGGAATGAGATGATCTTTAAGGTCCCTTCCAACCATTCTATAATACTGTGTTGGCTGAGCAGGTAAAATGCAAAGCTACCATAATAGCTCTGGTCTTGGAAACCAGAGCTTGTGGCTCCCCTGTTAAGTTTTTGGGTTCTGTACAGGGGGATTTTGTGCAGTTTGGTTGTCTTTCCCTATGGAAGGACTCTGATGCTGTGTGAAGATAAAAGGTGGGCATGGGGCATTTCAGCAGGAACCAATAAGCTGTAGGAATACAGCAGAAGGACAGCAGTACCTACAGAAGGGTTTATGTGGATCAATGAAAAGTGGCATTTGTAAGGCACTGGCCACCTCAGACATTTGGCCAGTCACTGTGCCTGATTTTGAACTTTCAGCTTGTGTGCTGCACTGGCAAGCTGGAGATTTTGAGTTGAATAAATGTCTATTAAAAAAAATATGGGATATACACGGTACTAAAGCAGTCTTGAGAATGTGGAAGCGTGTCCTGGGCTAAAAGTTGGGCCAGTAAATGATGAGGGTGAGACTGTAAAGTCACAGAAAAACACAGAGAGAAAACAGTTTTGGGAGCTCTCAGCACTCCAGGGTCTGGCATATGCAGGCTTCACAGGCATTTAAATGTATTTAAATATTTAAATTCCAAACTGTGTTGGGACTGTGGCTTACACTGAACAAGGTGGTTGGCCTCTGGTGATATGTCCCACTCCTTTAGAGAGATGCAGGATGGGACACAGCTCAAACCTCTGCAGTAAAGCATCCTGATCCTGGAAAACACCTTTGCAAGGATGAAAATACTCATGAGCCGAGCCAACGGCTGAAAAACAGGAATGGCAATTGGGAACCATTAAAAAGCATATTTTTTACAACATGTGCTGCCACAGTGCTAACTGTAAGCAATGAAGACAACATGGATGTTCCTAAAATTTGGAAGTAATATATGGCCATCTTATTAAGTGGTTTAATTTTCAATGAATATGTAAAAAATCTGTTGCTTCATAACGGCTCTGCAACATCCTTACAAAAACAACGATGTCATGAAGTGGTAACGATTTTGAAAACATACCAATGGAAACCGCAGGAGGCAGGGCAATGAAAGAATGTGTTCTCACGGTTGCCCCGTGCCAGGCCCGTGTTTGCTCATCCACTACAGCTTGTGTGTCAGGGCTTTAGCAGGCTTTGGGTGGGAAAATAGGTAACTCACTGTGTTTGCTCTGGTCCCCTGTGGAGCGGTAAGGTTAATTTTCACTGCAGACGCAGCAGGACCTGCCACCACTACTCACTTTTCCAAGAATTTGGAGCACTCCCGGTGTCCGTAGATCTCCGCGAACCTCCGGGGAGTGTCTCCGAAGAGGTCGGCGGCATCCATAGCAGCGTGCAGGGAGTGCAGGGTGCGGAGCACCCGCAGCTTCCCCGCCTCGGCAGCGAAGTGAGCCGCGGTCCAGCCCACATCGCTCCGCAGGCAGTGCCGGGCACCGTGATCCACCAGGAGCCTGACCAGGTCCGAGCGCCCTGGCGCAGCAAAACCAGGAGAGAAGATGCTTTAGAATTTATACCTTCAGGACGCAGAAGGCAGTCACACACAGCTGGTCATAATTCCCTCAGACACGGATTGCACCCACCTGACTATTTGGTTTTTCATATAAATGATACTGAATAGGAAATGCTGGTTATTTTCTCCCAAAGTAGACTGTTTCCTGAAGAAATTTACAACAAAAACAACAGCCAAATCGTAAGGCTTTCTAATTTCTGAACAGCACATCTCAATTAGTCATTGACCAATGGGATATTTCATTGCTTCATTTTGGTTTTTAGTTCAATTGCAAAATAAAATTTAAACATTGAGAACAGGAAAAGAACAGCTTTACTAAAACAAAGGTTTTTTTGGATAGCAAGTAGAGAAACTACTTATTTTTCATTCACCTTCACATTTTTCTAACTAGTGGAATTGCTTAAAGAAGCAAAAAAATTATTTCTACACCACTTCACACTGCCTTGACTGACCTAGACTATTCCAAATCACATCTAGGCCCTGTCAACTTCTCACTATCTCCTGTTAAGTAGCTCAGTCCCCTTTGCTGATGTATAAATGCCTAATAATCCATCAGGACAAAAGAAAAACGTGGTCGTAAGTGTAAAACAGGAAATCACACACCTGATTTCTGAGCAAAGACAGATGCAATGACATTAGATCCCAACAAACACTGTAGACAGAGGAGTAGAGTTCCAGTTTCCCATTTTACACTGTGTACAATTATACATTATATATTGTTGCATCATCTCTTTTTTTGGGCTGCAAAGGGATATTTGACTTTACCAGACACTTCTGCAGGTCCCAAATGGGAGCTGCAAACAGCTCTGGTCCTGCATTGTTCATTCAAGCAGGTGGGATATAAAGGGAGAGCAATGTAAAACATAGTTATTATTTTGTTCTATTTGGTTTGATAAATACCTGGTGTAAATACAGTGGATTTGACTTCCTGCTCTTTCCCACAGGTTTATTTATGAGACATAAACTCAAGGAGTCATCTCTTAGAAAAGCAATGGGAGGGAAAAAGCAGCCATTCCCTACAAGTAAATTGCAAATTGTTGTGTGGTGGAAGAAAAAGCTAAAAATCACTTCACCAGCAGTCCCACAAACTATTTTGTAGGCAAAGTTCCCATTTAAATGGATATTTAACCTTTTTTTGCTCGTTAGGGGCAAAATTACCAGATACAGGCTGAGATTTTGCCAGCCTAGACATAATTACAGGTGATCAGCATCACCTTTTATGATGTCCATTCACAGGTAACAGAGCTGGGGGTGTCCTTACCTTTGGCAGCAGCCCAGTGCAGGGGAGTCCTGTCATGCCAGTCAGCATCCTTATGGTTTGGGTCACAGCGCCCTGCCTTCAAAATCTTTTTCACCAGGTCATAGTCACCCACAGCCACGGCTTCATGGAGCTCTGTCATGTTGCACTCTTCAGAAAGGTGCAGCTGTAATAGGTCAAGCAGCACCTGGATTAAAAATGAGTCAAGCACCGTGAGAAACGAAGATTTGTCAAAAAAAAAAACCCCAATGAAACAAAAAAACCAAAACAAAACCCAAAACAAACAAACAAAACACCAAAAAAACAAACCAAAATACTGAGGCAGAGGGGAAATTATCTTCAAACCAGTGATCACAGACTGATGATGACTTTTGGCCTATAGACACAGAAATCTGCAGGAAAGTGCAGTCCTTTGTTTAAAGATATCGTAGCTAAAGCCACATTGAACATTTGCCATGGGTTTGTTGTGCTCACTAACCATGGGAACTGGCTCCTCCTTTGCCAGTGCTGCAGGTCTCTTACTGGTAGCATTTTATTGCCATGACAGAAACATCTATGCAAGCATCCTCTGATGTTCTTTGGTGAAAATTCTAAAAAGGGATAATAATAATTAAGCTTATTAAAAAAAAAAAAAAAAAAAAAAAAAAAGAGATGGTAGGGCAAGGAGGAATGGTCTTAAACTAAGATTCATAGCATGTTTCATACCTGGGTGGTTTGACTGTGTAGATAAGATCCAAAAGAAAGACCCATATTTGTCTTATACTGAGTTTGACTCCTGCACATCTGGGAAAATCTGAACATATTAAAAAGAAAATTAAATTCTGGAGCTCTGAGTGGGCAAAAGAAGTATCATGGGATTTGGTGTCTGTTAGTGTAACCACCTGTGTGCTGCTTCCTTCTCCTCATTTTCTCTCATTAACCTTTAATAACCTGCTCCTTTAGATTAAAAAGAGATCTTCTGACTTGTTCTGCAACACCTTTCAACAGCATCAAATCTATCCTGAAAATGTCAAACTTTAATGCACCCAGCCCATCACTGAAATGAGGGGTGGACAAATGCACAAGAAAAAAGAGATCTTGGACCTTTTCATATAACTTTCTTATTCTTTTTCAGCTTCAGCTCATACCCACACACATACACCCAAAGAGAAAGGAAGCTGCTGATGCCAAGGCAGGAGCTCAGCAGCTCTCCAAGGGCACAGTCCATAGGGGCAACTTCATAAGCAACTTAAGCCAAGCCAAATTCTACCTCCTCTCCTTCCCTGCTGCCTCCCTTTGCCAGCCTTGACACACATACGGGCATTTCACAGCCGTTGATATCTCACAAAATTAATCTTTTATTACTGATGCTGTTTTTCAGGTGAATTCCCTGAATTCAGCGTTACTGAGGGGGCAAACACCAGGGCTATGCAAAGGGGGCTGAGCGCAGATCTGCCTCACAAGTAAAGATCTGTGCTAAATCCACCTTCAGCCACCCCAGATGTTGGACCCGAAAGTGGAATCGGTCTCTCTAGACTGCGGTTATCCCCTTCTCATAAGGACAGAGGAAAAGATTTGTATTTTTACGGCACAACCTTGAGGCAAAGCGCCGTCTTCCGCTGCTCGCCCGGCCACAGGCATTGCAGCTCCTCCACAGGGTGTTGCAACCCATCCGGGGGAATTTTCTCCTGGGGTTCCTGCCTGTTGAGCCAGCCGCAGCCGGGAGATCCATTATTCACACACGAGGAGCCCACACATGACCCTGTCCCTGCCATACCGGGGCACGGCCCAGCACCTCGGCGGCCGCGGGCTCCGCTGGGACGCGCAGGCTTTGTTGGCCATGGCTCCATGCCAGAAACTCGCTTTCCAGGCCCAGGGACGATTTCTCCCAAGAAGATTGTCTCAGCTGGAAACTAAGGCAAAGTTTGGTCCCTCCCCTTCGGGGAGAGCCCGGCAGTCGCTGTGCCTGCGACAGAGGCGGCCTCCTGTGGGAGCAGCCGCTGCTCGCCCCGCTCCGGAGGGCCGCGGGTGGCCAGAGGGGACCTCCTGCTGCTCTGGACAGCGGGACGGGAGCAGGGGGCAGCCGGGACACCGCATAACAGGTACGTGAAGCCCTGCAAAGGGCTAAAAAAGGGTCTGGGCGGAGCACGGGCAGGAGCAATGGTGACGTGAGGGGGGTTTTAAGGAGCTGAGTGGTTTCTGCGCAGCACCTCACGCGGCTTCGCTGCTCCCACTCTCTGCTCGAGCCCTCGAGGGATCGCGCTCCTCGGCCTGCTTGCTTCCCCTTATCCGGCCTCAAATCCCCGTGCGTCCTGCGGAAGGGTGGGATTCACTCCGGATAAACTGAGGGCGGTAACAGCAGACATGTCCCTTCGCCTGTCCGTGTGTAGACAGCATTCAGGAAAATATAACCCACCTCCCGACGCGGCTGTGTCCAGCAGTCCCAGGCTGCAGCAGGGAAAGCTCCGACTAGATGGAACGGGAAAATAAGATTCACAGCGAGGGTGATTAAACTCTGCTTCAGGTGTCCAGCACTGAGACATGCAGGCCTGAGGCAGCCCCATGTGTGCCCTGCTTTGTGCAGGTGTTTGGACTAGGTGACTTTCAGCGGTTCTTCCCCACCTAAATTCTTCTGGAAGGCTAAGAGGGACAAAGAGGAGGAGGTTTGAGTGCTCTGCCAGCACGACATTCACCTCCTCCAAACGCAGCATCCCAAAACACGCACGGGACCCTGTGTCCCTGCTGCTGCTGGAGCTGGTGGGGAGAGAAGGTGGTTTTAGGATGTGGCTTCCCTGGTGTGCTTTAAGCCCAAGCTCGGGTACAAGGGACAAGTCGAGGACTGCCATGTCTGCCACACGGACCCACCGCGTCAGCCTGCCTGTACTTTACCCTGTGACACAACAATCCCAGCCTCTCCAGGTGGTGGCTCCTCTGGGTAGGGATCGGGGCTGGTGGTGCTGTCTGGGCTTGCACTCACCAACCCCACTGACGTGTTCACCACAGCAGCCCAGGAACCGTGGTGACTTACTGCTGGGGACACATGGGATCAAAGTGTGGTGACACCCTGCTGGGGACACATGGGAAGGAAAGGGACAAGCTCAGATCTCCATCTGTCATAAATGGGTGGCCTCCCCTTTCTCTGCCTGCTGGGAGCAAAAGACTTCATCTCTTCAAAATCAGCTGATATGTGGGAGGAAGGGGCTGTTGTGCTTTGCAGAGAAGTGAGATGGGATAGCTCCCAGCAGGCAGGTTTCCCACTAGAAAGTCCTGCTGCAGGCCCAAACCAGCAAGCAGTGGGTCAGAAAAGATGAATCACTGCCTAAAATGGTGTATTTAAAATCAAGGACAGAGCTGGGGCTCTCATGTAAATACTGACAATAACTCTTAGGATAATAATCCCCCAGACCCCGTGAATACTGAAATGTTTTGGCTTCTGGGGTAGAGACTAAGGTGACCCCATGCCCTGGTGATGAGAAATGGCTCTGGTTCAATCTGCAGGGTCAGATCTCTCAGGGGATGTATTTAAAACATTATTCAGAGTTCAAAAAGGGGGCAGGCAGGGACACTTCCATCTGCTATGGGGTTTCTTACTGGGGAGTGCTGCAGAGATGAGCATGGGGAAGTGCCCTTCAGCAAGGCTAGGAGGCCCTGGCCTAGTCCAGGATGTAGGACCATCACCCAAAAACTTGGGAATTGCCCAATTCCACCTTTGCTTCTCTCAGTCTCCCTTTCCCATCTTGAGAAGGGGGATGTACCATCCTTCCTCAGCCCCTAGGCTCATGGTGATGGTGCTGTCAGTGACTGACTGAGGTCAGCACTGAACCACACCAAGATGTCAAATGGAATCAGCCTTTAAAGCATGCAGCATGCTTGTTTACTTGGGAAAGAAATGGAGCTTAGAACAGTGAAAAAACACATTTGCATTTCAGTGACAGCCTCAGCCTTTTACACACTGCAGCACAAAAGGCATCAGTGTGAAGGACTTTCTTTCAGCTCCCCCACATTCCTCAGCCTCAGCTTCTCTGCTTTGGCAGTCTTCAAATAAAGGGAAAGCCAAGGTCAGGAGAAGAAGAAAAAAAAAAAAAAATAGAAAGGAAAAAAGAGAAACACCCCCCTTCATAAATCTAAAAACAGGCCCTGGTAAAACCTCCTTTCCTGCTGCCCACTGTGAGACCACCTGCTTGGAAACTGCTCGCTGTTTGCCAATATCTTTTGCACTTCCCAGACCCCCCTGCAACCCTGTTCTCCCTTTCTGGAGAAGCTGGTACCCCTGCACGCCCCAGCTCCTGGGACAGGCAGATATGGAGGTGGCAGTGACCAAGTTTTGTCAGTCATGGAGCGAGTTTGCCCCATCACTAGCACCACCATCCCCTGTCCTGCAGCAGCAGCTTTCCACAAGACTCGTGGAGGTGTTGGGGCATCTGAGGAATGTCGAGTCTGCTTTAGAAGGTACGGGGAAGAAGCACAGTGACACCCAGGAACCCATCCTGTTACCCTCACATGCATAAATTCTCCTGCTGCAAGTTCTCAGAGCATTGCAGGGGAGTTTGAATGACCTGGCCCAAAAAAGGGCAATGTTGGATCGTATCCTCATGCCAGTTCACACAGGCCCATGGAAGCTGTGCCAATTTATACTGACATTGTATCAGCCTTAGAATTTAACAAAGCCTCCATGTTTATCCCAGTGTTGGGAAAGGCTGTCCGAGCAACTTCCTGTGCCTTTTCAATCCCTGGCTCTGTAACTGCTGCGGGAACCACCCAGCCACAGCATGTCAGCTCTGGAAAACAAAACCAAACCCAGGAACTAAAGACAAAACCACCATGGAACATGAGGGAGCCATCATTTCCCTGGTTGTAATCACCAGCAGGAATGTGGCTATGCTGCTGGAACTTACATTTTATCTATCATGCTTGAAGCAGACCCAGCTCTGGTCAGGGGTGTGCCAGGGCTCCAGCTGCTAAAAACTGAGGAGAAGGACACTCATCTCAGGTCTCAGCTACTGTACAACCAGCACACTTAAGAAATTCCAGACTTAAAACACACAGACATATAAACACACAGCCCCATTTCTCAGAGAACATAAGAATTTGATTTCCAATGGAGGAGAGCAGGGGTGATGGGTGCTGTTATACCATATATTTCTAGGGAAATCAATTCCCACTGCTTAACTTAATAGCCTACAGGGTCATTTCTCTTCTGCTGCAGATGCTGAAGGTGCACAGATGAATGATAAAAAATTGGTTTACTACAAAAGGAATGGGCTGATGATGTAAATTGCAAAGGCTGACAGGCTGGAGGTTCGATATTTCCTTTTCTTCAGTTCCTGCATGGGCTGGACACACTGGGCAAAGTAGGAGTTTAGCATCTCAGTAGTAAAATGCCCTGCACGGTCACTGTGCTGTTACTTAAATTCCCCCAAAAGAGTAAAGCACAGCAAAAGCACTGTTTTTACCTGCACCTGAATAAGGCACCTTCTGAATTTTGTAAGAAATAATGGCATTGTTCTAGAGGGAAGGGAATCTGAGAAGGTGTTTAAAAGTCAGGCTTTAGGTGTGAAACTTTTTTCAATTGGCATTTCTTACCATCAGCAAGGTGTACACTCTTAAGAAAAAGGTTAAGATGTTGCTGAGGTTATGATTACTGAAATGAATTCAATGACAAACAGCAGAAGTAGGCAAAGGGTTAATCCACCTGCTTTGTGTCCTTTTCTTAATATCTATTATTGGTTTAATAATTGTTCTGCTTAATACAACTGGTTTATGAGATTGGGAAGAAATGTAAACATTCTGTTTGCCTTATAAAAACCTGCCATAATATTTGGTAACACTGTGGTCATGCAATATCTCCAAAACATATCTCATGTGAAAACCTTTTCTGTTCACAAAAGCCACACTAAGGCATTCAAATCCAGAGCTCTGACAGTAGCTGCACTCCAGCTCTTTGGGTTTGGGTTGGACAGTCACAACTCTGCTCCTAAACCTACTGCTAAATCCTTTCATAGCCCTGGGTAAGGGAAAGAGAGCATTCTTTTATCATAAACATGTCAGTACTAGCCTTCAAGGTAGTAGACTTACATAAGTTACATAAGAATTTAAATTTAAAAAAAGTTCTGAAAGGTGGCAAACAGGCTTTACTGTAACATTTCAAAATTAGAATAAACTCAGAAAAACTATATTATAAAGCAGTCCATACATTTCTTCACCAACTAAAAAACCCCAACAGTTTTATTTTTGTTTTTCTGCTTTTTTTATCAAAAGGGAACAAAGTTCCCAACAGCCCCTGGCTAATGTGCTAAATGCGAAAGTTCTCCCAAATCTGCAGTTATAGTTAGATCAGCTTTTTGCTCCAACATGTCCCCAGTTAGATCCTGTTCTGTAAATGATGCCTAATGATCATCTAGAACCCCACACAGCAAAGACACTGAACTCAAAGCATCAAACTTCCCGTTACAACTTCACATGACAATAAAGTTCTTCTTGGTTTGGTTTTTTTTTAAATTCTGTTTTTGGCTAAAACTTTTAACAGTTCCAGAACCACAGTATTTGGCCTTCTTGTTTACTGCTGATCTCCCAAAATCCATGCATTTCCTCCTTGTTCCTTGATACCAAGGGAAAACCCTTCCAGAATTAATTCCGATACCTGTGCATTCAACAGGTGAAGGAGGTGAACCAGGACAACCTCTTGGAAAAAGAGCAGTGAAGCTGCTAAACTCAGTCGTAAAACAGCAACTTGGCTTGGCTTAAAACCCCTTCCAGCAGCTGTTATTAAATTGCCAAGAACTTAAGCCTGACCAAAATCTTCCAGATCGGGCAGAGACTTTTCCAAGCACCTTTGCTTTGTGGGATTTAAGGATGACGGAGATGCACTTTTAAGGATGATGGAGCTGGGCATGTGTCCTGGGGTGACTTTATGATGCTGGTATTCCCCATTCATCTGTTTAGCCCAGAAATAAGTTCTGCACTTTAATACTAGACCTGAGACTGAACAGGGGGAGAAGGAAAATTTTCCCTAAACCAGGACAGCATGCCAGGATGACGATGGGGACATCTGGGACGGTGATGGAGCTGAGCTGCTGGACGTATTCTTGAAGCAGTGGTTGTGTAAAGGATGTTTCTCTCCATGGATGAATGGAACCATTAGCTGGGAAAGGGAGCCAGGAGCAGGTCAATACGATACTAGAAGCGCACGGTTTCCTTCTGGCTCCCCTTGCAGATGTGTGAATATCCCGTGGTGGCACGGCCGTGGTTTTATCGGTGTGAGGCAGGGCAGCCGGGCAGCCCTACGCGGCCAGGTCGAAGTCGTCGCGCTCCTGGTTGTAGTCGAGCACCTTCTGCCGCAGCCTCGAGGCGTCCACCCAGGTGATGAAGTCCTCGACGTTGCGGGGCACGAGGAGCGCGGGGTCCGTCACCACCTCGGGCCCCACGCGGACGTGCCCCTGCTCCACGAAGGTGACGGCGTGGCGCAGGTTCTGCGCCATGCGCAGCTTCACCAGCAGGCAGGGCAGGCGCCGGCGGCAGAAGGCGGCGGCCGAGAGGCTCTCGCACACGGCCAGCGACTGCCGGTTGTTCACCAGCCCCAGCCCGTGCAGCTTCTCCAGCAGCGCGGCGGCGCAGCGGGCGCGGAAG